ATTGTGGGGATGCCGAGCCAAGCTGCAGACAGCCACAGGGAAACTCGCTGACATCCGAGGGAGTTGGGGAGCTGTGAGCCTGGGGCAGAGCCCCCAGCAGAGGGCACGAGGAGGTCCAGAGTGGCTCCCACAGGAAGGAGGGGAGGAGAGAGGGCTGGAGTAAGGGAAGGGCACGGGAGGGGAGTCCTTCCCAGTGCTGGCCAGCTGCCAGGTCAGGTACAAGTAGGTGGCAGGTAAAGGACCTACCAGGGCCCCATGAAGCTAAGTGGGTGACACACAGGCCAAGGCCACCTCTGGCCAGCAGCCCTCCGGGCAATCAACTCTAGAGGACAGTGGGCATCAGAACTGCCTGTCCTCACTGGAGAGCATGGGACGCTGGACTGTCACTTACTGAGTCTCACTCCCTGCTGGGGGGAAGGTAGCAGAAAGCCCAAGAGCTTAGAGGAAAGCTAGAAGGTGGGCCATGTGGGCAGGGGCACAGAGGCGGCTGCCTGAGCCCCAGGCCTGGAGCACATGACCTGACCAGAGGGGACAGGGGTCTGGAACTCCTGGTCTCGGAGTGGGGGTGGGGAGGTTGCCTCAGGGAACTGACAGCTCCCAGTGGCGCTCCAGAAGTTGGGGTCCCAATGGCACTCCCTACCTCCCTACCCGCACTAAATCCAGCACCAGGCCCCTGCAGAATCCCAGCAGATTCCCATCGGCCTGCTCCTCTTTTTAGGACCTGGGTCACCTTCCTGCAGGATTACTGCAGCTCCTTCCTCACTGGGCTCCCTCCACTACAGCAGCTGGGAGGGCCAAGTCCCAAGTTTCTCCCTGGCCTTCAAGGCCCTACATGGCCAGGGCTCTGGCTGTGTCTCCAAATGCATCAACCCCTCCACTCTGTGAGCCACATGGGCCCTCCACACTCCCTCTCACTCCTGTGCACGCAGTGCCAGGCAAGCTCTCTCCCTCCCTCTGGCCTTGCCCCTCCTTGCTTCTTAGTTCCAGGTTTCTTCCTTCAGACCTCCGCTGAAGTGTCACCTCCTCCGGGAAGTCCTCCTGACCCTCAAGTCCAGGTCAGGTTATGCTATGATGCATCTCCGAAGCACCCAGATGTTTCCTTTATATGCTTATCACGGCCTAGAAACACACATGCACCGGTTATTTGTTTAGTAACGGGCGGAGGCGTCTGGCAGAGCATCAATCAGTGAGTGATGAATCAGTGATGAGGGAATGGCTATCCACCAGGGGTAGGGGCCACCCTTAGTTTTGTTTACTTTCTGTCCCTGGAGTTGGCCCAGAGACAGACACCTACTACCTGCTCCACAAGCATTCACTGATGGAGAATGAAGGACAGCCACAACTGGTCAGACAATGGGAATGTGGGATGGAGTCCTCTGGCTCCAGGTTTCAACGCTGACAACTCCCATTTACTTCAAATAACTTGCTCACCAGGGCCACCTCTGTCCACGGCTTGGCAGAGACAGGAGCCTTGCCCTTGGTCCCCAGCAGCAAAAAGCCCTGATTTCCCAGAAAGGTATGGCCCACCTTCAAGCTGGGGAGCAGGGATGGGGAGACGCTGCCCCTTGCCTGCATGCACTCTCTGACTTCCTGGCTTTCGAGATGGAATCAGAGCTGCTTCTTGCTGTCACCTCCCTAGATGCAGGCTCCCCCACTCTGCTGGTGGCCAAGGCTGTATTTGGGCCAGCAGGTGCGTGCTAGAGCTCCAGATCGCATATGACAGGTAGCTTTGTACAGGGTAAAAGTCACAACTTTTTCCCACCACCAATTTGTAAGTCTCATCCTCTGCCGCAGTGATTTACCGACCACAGGGTCACACACCTTCCGGCTGGGAAGAAATGAGATGGCATCTCCTGTGTCCTCTGCCACCTGAGTTAATGCAGCCCTGTCCCCTGGCTGTTTGAACCCAGGGGTTTCCTCTGCCGTGGGGCAGCCTTTTCCCAGGAGGGAGGGAAAACAGCTGCTCTGGAGTCAGACTAGTCCTGGCTCTGACTCCAAAGACAGTGCCAGGGAGCCTATTGTCCCCATGCTGTCACCACACAGGCTGCCTGCTCCCAGCAAACTTCCTGAGGCTCCAGGACACCATCTCCCGCATTCACATCCAGACAACCATCCTCAATTTTTTTTTTTTTAATTTCTCAGGGTCCCACAGGAGGGCCACAATGATCTTGTTGGCCCAGCACTCCATAAATCTCCTGTTTCTAACTCATTACCTTCTGATTAGCTGAAAGGCAGGGCCCTTGTTTCACACAGTGTTTACTAGCGCTAGTAATGGCCACAGCTGTTCATGAAGGCACTGCCATACCCTTGGTCCACTTTCCTGCCCACAGGCTCCCTCCCTGCTCCACACTTTCTCCAATGTGGCTGCCACACCCACCGGGGAGAATCAGGGAGGTGCAGCAGGGGCAGCTGAGACAGACATCTCCCACTCCAAGCCAGGCATCAGGCCAGAGAAGGGGGCCCCGTACCTCCCACCAGCCCGCACAAGACTCCAGCACCCACCACAGGTGCCTCCAACCAGATGCATCAGCAAATCACAGTAAAAGCTTTCAGCGCCCATCACTTCGATCAGCAAAACCACAAAAAGCCTATCAGGTCGCCACTGGCACAAGCTCTGAGTGAAGAGCAGAGAAGTAGTCTGCCAGGGTGTTTCCAATCAGGAGTCTCTGACTTCCCACCTTCCAAGTGAATCCCAGGCAAATTCCCCAAGGAGCTCACCAGCATGCTTTCCCAAAGACCATTTGGCAAAAAAGTAGCCACCGAACTTTCCCAGACTTATTAGCTTACGTAAACAGACATTTGAATAAATGTTTAAAAAATGAAATTCCCTTGATACTCCATAATCAGTAAATGTTCATTATGGAAACACAGCAAATATCCATGAAATTTCCCAAGTGGTATTCTGGCTACAAGATTAAAAAGGCGTCTCAGACAGCAGGCTGAGTTACAAAGCCTCCTCCTCTGGTCACAATCCAGCGAAGATTTGCCAAGCCCAGGAGGTCAGACAAGTCTGCTCCTCTCCCAACCAGAGCCAGTGAAAATCAGCCCATGCTCCTTTTGCCTGCTCTGGCATTTTATAAATGAGCCCCCACGTCAGCTGATTGATGTCTCTCTATAAATAATTAATCCTTGACCTTGTTTTAAGAAAGCCTTGACTTTTTAATTTGGGGTCAAAAATCAATACCAAGGAAACATAATTCACTCTGTGGAGTTTGATTCCAAGTAAATAAATAAATAAGCCATGCCACTGGTGTGTCTCAGGGTGAATGGGCTAAGCGATGGGATGGGGTCTGACTTTGAGGTTGTCTGTGTTCAAATGCTATTAAATTATTGATCATCCTAAGAGACTCAATCTCTTCAGGGTCTGCATTTTATTCCTTCTGTGGGTCATTTCACAGAGGCAAGTCTGATGAGGGCTCCACTCCCCCCAAGGGCTCCTCCCTCCCTGTCCTTCCATATGTGGTGGGCTGCCTGGATTTTAAAAGGGTCTCCTACAGGGAGCAGAAGGTCACTTCTTCCTGCAGCCTGTCAGCCTTGCCTTTGGGACAGGGACAGAGGGTGGGCAGAAGAGGCCATACAGCTGGGAAATTTTAAAGAGGGTTCCGCCACTCCGTTCCAGAGGCCGCCCAGTTCTAGGGCAGGACTTGAGAAAAGTTCCCCACCCGTAGGCAAGGGTCAAGGTGAACTCGGATGTGAGAGGTTACCCAAAAAAGTGAGCGTGGTAGTGCAGCTTGGAAGCATCCCAGAAATGAGGAACAGGCCAGTCTGTCCCTTACCGCCTGCCACCTCCTCTCCCACCATGCACCCCCCAGGGGCTATGGTCCCTTCACTCAACCGCCTCCTGCTCCGGCTGGGCTGCGGGGCCAGACACGGACCGCCCTGCCGCCCAGTCTCCCTAGCATAGCCAATCACTGAGCAGGGCCCAACAGGGAGGCGCCCCAAGGACCCGAGACCCACCCGATCCCGGAGACGGCTTAAGACGGGGAGCCCCGGGAACGGCCCCTACTTCTCGGTTAGAGCAGCCCTGCAGCGAGTGCTCACAGCCCAGGGCGTTGAACGGCTGCCGCGCCAGCTCCGGGTCGGGGGTTACGCGGGGCCTGGGGACCAGATGTAGGGCGAAAGTTAGGGCGGCAAGAGTCCTGCGCCTGGAAAGGGAGAGGGGACCCTCCGAATCAAGCGCCAACACTGGCACTACCAAAACCCGCCAACGCACCTTCGCCTGGCTGCGCCGGCCTCTGGCGAGGTCAGAGCTGGCATGCAAAACTGGAAGCTAGCAGCTGGAGTTGGAGTTGCAGCCGCAGCCAGAGCTCGGCTGGGTCCCACCGCGAAGCAGCTCCGCCCACCCGAGCAGCTCCAGGCTCGGACTCCCGCACTCCCGGACATTCGCACGCGCACACCTTTACACATCACTGACGCACACACACTCGCCTCAAGTACAAAACAGGCCGGTGCCCTGGAGAGTGGCGGGGTGGGGACGCGCGCGACGGAGCGCGGGGGCACCTTCCGCCGCTCGCTGGGAAGCCCTGGCAGCTCCGAACTCCTCCCCCGCCCCTGCCCGCCACAACCCGCCCCCGAGTCCCAGACTGGAGCGAGCGGGAAAGCCCCGGGCGCCCCGGCGCTCCAGCCCGGCTCTCTCCGAGCTCAACACCAACGCTGCTTCCCCGCGCCCGGCACCCAAGGCTGGGAAGAGGAGCACGGCATCCGCGGGGACCAAGGGAACCCGAGGGGCGGCAGTGCACAGACGCGCGGCGGCAAGTGAAAGCCATGGAGCAAAAGTCTAATTAAAGTTCCCGCCACTGGAGCCGGTCCCCAGCGCGCGGCCGGACCGGAACCCCGCGCGCCCTATCTCCGCCTCCGGCTTCGAACGCTTAACGGTGCAGGTTCTCGGCGCCGGGACGCAGTGCAGTCCCGGGTCCTCCCGGGACCCCTCGGGGCGCCCTTCCCGGCCAGGAGCCGGCACAGGGCGGGGACAGGGCTGGGGCGGGGCGCAGCGCACTTACCTGGCGCAGCCGGCGCTCGCGGGGCCGCGGGCGCCTCCAGCCCGGGCTCGGTCCTCCACGGCGAATCCTCGGCTCCCGGGGGCCGCGCGGCAGGGAGGAGGACCTCCGCCCCAGCTCGGGCCCGGGGCCTCCTCCCGCTCGGAGCGGAGACCGGTGCGGTGGGTGAGGCTAGCGGCGCGGGCCGGCGGCCGGAGCGCGCAGGAGAGGGAGCGGGAGAGGGTGCGGTGGCGTGTTCTTCCTCGGCCCCGAGCCCGGGTCCGTCCCCCGCCTCCCACCTCCAGCCTCCCGCCGCCGCCCTCTCCTCTCCCCACCGCACCGCCAGATCCGGCTAGAGCGCCGGGAAGGCTCCCAGCGAAGTGCGAGCGGAGCCTCCGGCAAGGCTGGAAATAACGCCGCGCCCGCCCGGCGCCCCGCCCCCGGCCTGGGCCCCGCCCCGCGGTGGCGGTGGCGGTGGCGGTGGCGGGGGCCGGGCCGGGAAGGGGATCACTCCCGCGATCCGCGGGTCCCTCCCGGGAGCTCGCGGGCGCCGCGCCCACGCGCGCTCTGCGGCTTCCGCGGCCGGCCCCAAGGGCCGCGCGCTTCGAGGGAGCCGCCGCTGGGCGCGGTCCAACGGCCGCGGGGGTGGGGGCGGTGGTGTTGGGGGCTGCGCCCGTCTCCCGGGTTCCCTGAGAGCAGGCCTCAGGGCTGCCACTTGGCTCCAGAGCGCGGCCGGAGTGCTGTCACTGCCTCGGTGGGTCGCACGCCGGCGCCGACCTGGGAAAATGACTAGGCGTCACCGGAGAGGGCCGTGACCACAGCTGGGCAGGGGCGCGCGCTCAGGACCCGACGCTGCGAGGGCGCGGGGCTGGGGAAACGCAGAGGCGTGGTCCGTAGCAGCATTCTGAGGGATCCCTGACCTACAGCCTCAGTAGAGTTTGGTCAAGGTCTTGGGCGGCCTTGGTCCCAGATGTCTGCACCCATCCCCAAATTCCTGGGGCTCTGGATTCTGCTGAAAGGACCCATGACCCAGGCTTTTCCTTGAGGGCTACCTCCTAGAAGTGCTTGTTGGGTCACGTCCTGAGATCTTGGGGGGGCGGGGTTCGTGAACCAGGTCAACCTGGGTCAGCCGACTCCTCCCCATACACACCCTCAACAACACAGCAGGGAAGTGGCAGAGCCACAGCCACGGAGCACCAGGACAGAGCCCGGATGGGCAGGGGGAGAGGGGGCTCTGACTCCAGTCCTGTTTTTCCTGAGAAGACGCAGCCCCCACCTGCAGGGGGCAAGCAGGTGCTGGGAAGGAAGGCCGGCTGGCTTCTCACCGGAACTTGATGAAGCTGTAAATGAGTCACCTCTTAATCTTGAGGGGACCCCAGTATTTTCCAAAACCTGCCGAGAAAGCTTTAGTAAAAGAAAGGATGTTCACCCTCCTCTCATTTTATCTGCTGTTTGGTTGGCCTGGCGACTCCACCCTGCTAATTCGGAGGGTAAGATGGAGAGGTGGGGAGTGAGGTGGACTCATGGCCTTGGGTTGACCAGAGAGGGGAGGGCCAGGGGCAGCCCTGGCAGGGAGCAGAGCCGCTCCTGAGGAAGGCCAGGGAGTCCCCAGCAGTAGGGCTCCAGAAGGCCTAGGAGGCACCCAGACTGAATGCTTAAGGCGAGCTCAGCACAAAGAGAGAACAGCAAAGGAGAGAAGACAAACTTTAGCAAACCAGCAGTATCATGATTTTCCTTAATTCCTGCAACATCAAAGTAGGCTCTATTATTTCCATTTTCCAGGTGAGGAAACCAAGGTACAAGGATGCCCCCAGGTTGCTGGAGTCCACACATCCGGAGGGTGGCAGAGCCATGTTTGAGCTGCTGATTCCAAAGTGGAGTAGGTTCGGTGGGGTTTCCTCTCCAAGATCCCGAGTTCAGAGACTGTTCCAGACCCAGGCCTAGCTGGGCTCCACTGGCTCTGTGTTACTTGTGTTTGTATGTGGGGGGGGGGAGTATGTATGGGGCTGAAATCGCCCTACTCCTCAGTCAGGTGCAGATCGGATGAACAGTATCAGGGACAAGGATGCAAATGTCAGGACAGACAGGGCAGTGGCATCCTTACCCAGCCCATGACCAAAAGCTAGCAGAGCAGAGCAGGAGGAAAGATGGTGAACAAAGGCGAAGTTGGGGGGTGGCGGTGAAGTGAGCAGAAAGCTACTTGCCTGGTGAGCCCAGAGAGCACTGACCCTGTACCTCCCCGCCCCTCCCCTGCCTTGTCCCCATACCTCCAGCCGTCTCTCACCACCCAGGGTCCTGGCCACAAGTTGGCTGGGCACCTGCCAAAGAAAGCTGGTGGTCCAGGGAACCTCTTCAGTACTAGGCACGCTCCTGCAAGAGAATACACACACACACACACACACACACACACACACACTCAGCAGGCAGTGCAGAGGGAATGGGGAGAGGAGCTCACGTCCCCTGAGCCCAGCCTTACACCCAGGAGGAGGCTCTGAACCACAAGTGTGTCCACTGGATAAGTCCACACAAGCTCTACTTCCACGGGACAAGTCTACGCAGGCTTTATGAGAACCAAGCTAGCAGCAAGTGGGGCCGGTGAGGCCCTCCCAGGTATGGCGTGCGGCTGTGTGCAGTGATCCTCCCGGGAAGGACTGTTTTTCCATTAGCGTTTCCAACTGTACTTATTAGCACTTATTTGCATCTAATATTCAGGCAGGCATTGCTAGGCATCAACAATGCTGCATTCCTTTGACATCCGCGAGATTTTCAATTTTTTCACTCAGACTTCCTTCTTGCTTGGAGAGGCCCTCGGGGAAATCCCCAAACCGGGCTCCAGGCCCCTGGCACCAACATGCACTGGGTTTTCCTCCTCGGGATTTGCCAAGGGCTGCGTGCCCTTTTTTGAAAGTCAGGCTCGGCCTCTGCAGCGAGAGAGGCGGAGAAACGCTGCAAATTCCCGGCATGAAGCCCTGTGTGCTCACTTGCAGTTTTTGATACGTGTTTCTCTGCTGAAAGATGAGTGGCAAACTTCTCCCTTTGCATCCCAACGAAGGTACAAGGACATTTGCATCAGATCACACCAGGAGTCCACGACCCATGCCCCAGAAGAGGTCACGGAGGTTCAGAAGCCACTCTATTTGCTGCCAAAGAGGCAGGAGGAGGGGGCCAGGCCAGGTTTGGGGGAGGATAGCAGGCAAACCACCCCCCTCCCCGGGCTCTGGGTTCCCGGAGCATCCCCTGGAGTGCAGATTCTCGCCTACCTTTGGGTGCGGAGCTGAAGGCAGCACAGTGGGGGAAGGACCTTGTGTTCCAGGAAGGGCACGTAAGCCCCTGTGGTAAGACTGCATCCTGAGTCTTCAACTTTCCATTCTGTGAGAAGAACCAGAGAGCTTTTCTGGGGAAGAGAGGGAAGCCATCTGGAGTGGTAGATCCAGGAACACCAGCATCCCATGGGAGAGAGAAGAGAATGATGGCATAGACCAGGGGGTGGGTTTCAGCTCTCCAAGGCACAGGCTGGGTGGCCTCGAGCAGGTCTGCTAGCAATCCCAGCCTGTTTCCTTATTTGGGAAATAGGCTCCACCTGCTTCTTGCGGCCAGGATCCACAGAAGTCAGGGAAGGGTGTGAAGACATTTTGGAAAGCAGGGTGGCGAGGCTGGCCTGCTCTGAGTCACTCAGATTAGCCACCTCAGGACCTGGGTGTCAAGCGTCTGGCCCTGTGCTGGCCTCTGAAATATTGTGACCACAGGGTTTCCCAGAGTTAGTTCCCCACGCTGTGACAGGCTGAGCACAGCGTTGTCCGGATGGGAGCCCCTTTTCCAGGAACACAGCTGCCTTCCCCAGCTGCCTCTGCGGTGGCCTCGGTGTGGGACCGTGGCCAAGCCTTTCCTCCCCATTTGAACAGTAAGGGGAGGGTAGCCCAGGCTCTTGAGACCCCCACCGGGCTTGTGCTGTAATGTCACAATTCCTAAAAATTCCTCACCTAGAGAGGAGGCCCAGGGAGTTTCCCTTGGCCACCTGGGACCATATTGGATGAATGTCCCTTCCCTGCCACTTTTCCTCCACTCCCCATGTCCCTTCTCCTTTTCCGTCACCCCTTGGGTTTTGGAGAAGCTGGAGGGAATGGGTCCCTCTGTTCCCTTCTTTGTTGAGTCACCTGCAATCTCCTGATGCCATCATGCCTGGGGGAGAGCCCTCTACCCTAGCAATGCTGCTGGCTTCTGGGCAACCCCACGTCCCCCATGCCTGTTGCAAATTCTGAAGTTCCACCATCATAAAAATACTTCCCGAGGCAGGCTAAGATGACGCCAGTGTCCATCCTTAACACGAACGAGGGTTGGTGAACAGATAGGGGTTTCTGAATAGCACGTAATAACAACTGTGGCTAACTTGAGCAAAAAGGGAGGACTCCTGGAAAGGACACTGGAGGGGTCTCACAGAGCGGGGGGATGGGGGGGAGCCAGGCCTCCAGGAGGGAGGACGGCAGCACTCAGGGTGGGGGGCTAGAGGACCTCTGGGGTCTGCAGGAAGGGATGTCCCCCTCCCCCGATCTAAGATGAGCGGGTCTGCAGACGCACCCCTGTTGAACCCAGAGCCCAAGAGGGAGGCAGGCCCAAGCCCAGGTCAAGTCCATCCATGCAAACTGGGCTCAGAGCCAGCCTGGTGTCGCTCTTGAGGTCTTGCCAAGCTCAAGTTCATTTTGGTGCTTCTTAATTAAAAAACAAAACAAAACACAAACAAAACACCACTGGGCTGGTCTGCTGCTGATTGTTCCTTCAGTCCCCACAGATCTTGAGCCCAGCCCTCAGGTGGCCTGCCCACGATATGGGAGAGGACACTCAGGTGGGGGGATGCACTGCAGGAGGGGTCCTGTAGACGCTGAGCATAAACAGTGGAGATTTTTCTTTCTTACTCTGGGATAAAGAATTTAAAATTCTAGAATAATTTTATGCCACAATTCAGTAAATGCTCTTTCGCTTGGACCAAACTAACTCAGCATTCACGTCACGCAAGACGGGGCTGAAGTTGACTTTTTCACTGTCAGTCAAAGACAGTGGGACTAGGCTTGCAGGAGCCAGTCTCCTCTGCCTCAGATAGTAAAGAGTTTGACTCCTCCCACCATTGTGGTAGTTCTGTGCATCTACCTGCCTCCAGGTACAAACAAGCCCATTATACATAATTCTCTCTAGTCCCTCAAGTGGGCCTCCTTTTTTTTTGCTATATGCTGTTCATTATTAACTGGGGTGACTATTACAATGAGGAAAT